CTGCCTTCCCTCTCTCCTCTCCTACTACAGCGTCTGGCTGGCGACCACGAAACAGCCTGGCGCCAGCCTCCTCCTCTGAAGTCTCACGTGCAGCAGCATCGAAGCCGCAAGCGATTCGCAAGACTGAAAGTCAAAGCAGTGGCGAAGTCAAAGTCAACTCTATATAGTGTTGACTCGCGTTGTCCAGGGTCAGCTTCTGTCTGTGTGAGGCCCCGGACCGGCGTCTCAGATGCAATTTGTCCCAGTTTCAGTCTGGACTCCTTAATTCTCCTCCTTATGATTTCTCTTCCTCCTGAGTTCTCCTCCTTATGATGTCTCCTCCTCCTTAGTTCTCCTCCTTATGATTTCTCCTCCTCCGGAGTTCTCCTCCTCACGATTTCTCCTCGATTTTTATCGGTGCAAGTCCGATAGTGAGCATACTCGCCTGGTGAAAATGGTTAACACGACAGACTAAAACACTTTGTCGGTTCGAGTGAGTCGGGACCACGGCGTTATAACTTAATAGGTGTCAGATTGTGAATTTGAAAACACGGGTTCAACTCCCGTTATTCGCCTCTTGCAGCGGAACTCTGGCGAGCCTAAATCCAGCCAAAATCCTCCTTATGATTTCTCCTCCTGAGTTAGATCCCTGTAGTCTGCTCGCTCTGGCCAGACCTTTCTGTCAGGCATAATTTAATTGATTTCCAAAGGATACGAAGTCGGTAGATGTCGAAGCAGCCAACCACTGCTTAGTTAGTCTCACCCGATCGCCGATGGATTCGTACGGCTCAAGTATGCGATGTGCTCTTCTCCTCCTCGTGAATTCTACTCCTTAATTCTCCTTTTTAATTCTCGTGTGTGCAGGCGTTTATCGAATCTGAGAATAACCGGCTGGAGAAGGAAGCAGTTCAAAGATCGCTGTAGTCTGCTCGCTCTGGCCAGACCTTTCTCTCAGGCATAATTTAATTGATTTCCAAAGGGTACGAAATCGGTAGATGTCGAAGCAGCCAACGACTGCTTAGTTAGTCTCACCCGATCGCCGACGGATTCGTACTGCTCAAGCATGCGATGTGCTCTTCTCCTCGTGAATTCTCGTCCTTAATTCTCGTGTGTGCAGGCGTTTATCGAATCTGAGAATAACCGGCTGGAGAAGGAAGCAGTTCAATTCTGGGCAAAGGAGATTGTGGTCAAGATAGAGTACAAGTACTGTCCCAATTTGACTATCATCGACACGCCAGGGTTGATTGCGGCTGCGCCAGGGCGGAAGAATCAGCAATTGCAGGCTCAGGCCCGTGCGGTGGAGGCCCTCGTTAGGGCCAAAATGCAGCAGAGGGAGTTCATCATCTTATGCTTGGAGGATTGCAGCGATTGGAGCAATTCTACCACTCGTCGAGTCGTTATGATGGTATGTGAGTACTGTCTTGCATTCTAGTCGAACAGCCCTGATATTCGAATACAACTCACAGCGTTCTATTGGAATCATTGTGTTTTTTTTTTTTGTTCCGAAAACTCGAATACAACGCATATGCATTGTGTTCGGTGGAAGATGGTAGTAATGGTGGTTGCTGTTTGTCGCTGTCAGCGGAAGGCGATGAATGCGATGACTGTTTCGCAGTGCGCTTTGTCTTCTTCTTCCCATCGTTTTTAAAACTAGAAGTCTAAAACCACCAGTTCACACGAACTTTTTTTTTTTTTTTTTTGAGGAGGCAGAAGAAGCTATGAATTGAATTGACTTGACCTGCATGGGGGTAGCAAAGGCCAAAGGCCAATCGCTGTGCATTGATGCATAAAAGAGCAAGAAGGAGAGGAAGAACCCCTGGGTGGGACAGCAAGCCAGCCAAGGAGATAATAGTGCTTTTACCGGTATTCGCGATAAGAGCACTTGGATTCGGACCTGGGCCGGTGGCGAAAGTGGCAGGCCACTTTTGGAAAGTTACAGTTGTAGGTTCATGAGAATTGGAGGGTAGTTTTTTTTTTTTTTTTTTTTGGGCGTTCAATTACTTTCAAAGATTCGAGAAGGTAGCTTCTGTCAACTTAGTCTAGTGTGAAATGGTGGTGTCATTAATTCTTTTTTTCAAATTTTTGTTTTTTTTTGTTTTTTTTTTTCACAGTGAGGGGGATTGAGGGGGTATGCACAGTGAGGGGAGGTGGACATCACACAGTCTTGCAAAACTGGTCCGGAAATAAAGTATCAGCAATGAT